GGATGAAGTGACAAAGACTCATAACAAATCACTATACTGAATGAGTCCTCAGGGGTCATCTAGTCACCCCCTGCACACTCGCATCCCAGGCAAGTGCCTCTCCAGCTCATTTGAAATCTGCTGATTGAGGATCAAGGCAGTATCACAACTTCCCTGGGCAACTTGTTCCATTGTCCTGCTGCTTTCTTAGAGTTAGGAAGTTTTTCCCGAGAGTCGATTACATCTTCTTTGCTGCAGTTGAAACCCACTGCCTAATGTCCTGCCCTCTGTGGCAAGGAAGAACAATGTTTCTCCATTTTTTAGGACAGTGTATCAAATATTTTAAAATCATTATGTCCCACTTCACATTTTCTCCAAACTAAACCATACCTAAGCTCATCGGCCTTTCCTCCTATAGGTGACATTCCAATCCCGTGATCTTCTTGTTACTCACCTCCGCGTCCTCTCCAGTTTTGCCATATCTTTCTTAAAATGTAATGCCTCAAACAGGACAGAGTACTCCAGTGGAGGCCTGAACCAGCACCAAGCAGTGTGGTACTATCATCTCTTTCATACCATGCTTCAGATAATGCAATCCAAAACTGCATTTGCTTTTTTCACATTGCTGACTCAAGCAAAGTCCATCCTCAGACCCTTCTCAGCACTTGTGCCGTCCAGGCAGTTGTCTCCTATTCCATGCAAGCACATTAGTTTTTTCTTTTCAAGGTGAACACCTAACATTTGTCTTTGTTGAAGTTCATTTTCTTGTCTCTAGACCCTGTGCCTCAATTTAAGATCTCTTTGAATTTTAATCCTGTACTCCAAGGTGTTTGCAAGGTCTCTCAAGCTTTGTTATCTGCAAATGTGATCAGCATATCCCCCATCTCCACATCCAAGTCATGAATAAAACTGTTAAACAGCACTGGATCCAGGATAGACCCCCTTGAAACCTACTCAAAGCCGCCTGCCAGTCTGACATCAGTCCACTAATAATTATTCTTTCCTTGCAGTATTCAACCAATTATATATCCACCTAATGGTATTTCCATGTAGCCCACATTCTCCAGCATGAACATAATTTGTATGCTTAGAAAAAGTTTTTGGGATGAAAACACTAAGTGTAAGGTCACCTACTAGCCTTGGGTCACTTGGGCACACATGGCCTAGGATGGACACGAATGAAAGTTACCACCTGCCTATTGCCTGGTGCATCGTTCAATGAGTTGATCTTAGCCTACTCCAAAATGGTCCAACACTGGAGGTTGGTAGCAGCTTTGTTGGAAGTTCATTAAAAAACTCAACAACTAACTGGGCATGGACTGGAGCCTCAATTACGCTTGCATCGCTAGCAGTGATCTTTCCAGGGCTTGTACAGCAGCAGTGTTGCACATTCCACAGAGGGTGTTAGATAGACGCACCTGAATTTCTATGCATGGATTCAACCTAGTATCCCTGCTATCCAGTTGGTAGCTGCTCTCTGAAGACTCTGATCTCTCCCCTTCTCTCTCCCGCAAGTGCTGTCACAACAGGCACCTTTCCACAGCACAGAACTCATTTAAGAAAGATTGAAATCTGCCATTTGGTTTACCAAGACAGTTGAAGAAAACTTTATGGACAGCTGAACATCTCATTCATTCTGAATTCATTTTAAGGCAGTTTTCGAGTACTGAAGGAGGGTTGCACAGTGCAGTTCAGCAATGCTTAAAACCTCTTTTTTTCTTCCTTTTCCCCCCCTTTTTTAAAAGCAGTCATCCAAATTGCCCCAGGTTGGCAGCTTGGTGGTGTGTTTTGACTTGCAATATGGAGAGATTCACCAATAGTGATATTTTATTTGTCTGAGTGTGTGCAAGTGCTGCACAGTATGTGGGTGGCCTTTCAATATTAAACATGGACACTTGAAGAGTTCGCCTACAATCTCATAAATCTAATTTATGAAAAGCCTTCATTCAATAGTGCAGCAACTCCGATTAAACACTTATGGGTTCTTCATACAAGATCAATTGACATCTTGCAAATTAGAGTAACTGCTACGTACAGAAGAGCAAATTATTCACAATACTGCTACAGCCCAAGGTGGAACATAATTGACATCTTAATGTATATTAAGCCCCCCTCCCTTTTTTTGGTCTTGAAATATGAAGAATACGATTCACTGGTATGATTTAATCTCTCAGGCACCACAAGGGTTGTTCCAAAGAGCCTTGCTGGGAGAATGAAATATGTTAGAGCTTCACATTAAAATACATTGCAATTTTAAGCAGCAAACTTGTTTGGGAAGGTGGCAAAACCATTCCCTCTGTGCAATTACTGCCATGCTTCCATCATACTACGTGCCACTTCCCGAGTGCTGGTGTAACAATATTGTTAGTGTACATTTCTCCAAGTAAACTGGCACTGGGGCTGTAGCCAAAACAACCAGCAGCTCCTTCCAGTTGTGCTTGTTAGACAAACCTGGCATGAAGACTTTGCAAAATCCAAATCCATTCCTTTCTGTAGCATTCAGTCTTAAGTCACAGGATTAATGGCACCTGCAGGCTCTAATAGACCATAACCATCTAGCAGTGTGCCTGACACCACAGCAGAGGAGAAAGTTCCTTTGAAGACACTGGAGTTAGACCCAGGAGGAAAACCTCTGGCATAGCGGCTGCATATGACTGAAATATCTGCATGGATGAACCTCTCCTTCAGCTCCCTGCACATGAAACAGGACTGTGGAATGAGCACGAAACCCTGGGTTCAGATACTGCATGTACTTGCCATCTCCAGTGCAGCTGAGACTAATGTACAGTCACATCCAACAGTCTGACTGGCAACGGATTCTCCCGGAGATTAGCAGAAGGAATAAATACTTTTTTCCCCACTTTTAATGACAAATGATATTTTGGCTGCCAGGAATGTTCACAGAGGAGAGGCCCAGCACCGCACTCATGAAAACTTTTTTCCAAATCATCTGTCTTGCTATTAAAGAGCCTTGGAATGTGCTTGGGTGTGTGAGACATCGACCTAAGAGAACATGAAAGACACAAGCTTGAGAAGCCTGGAGCGTGAAGTCCTTTATGTATCCAGCAGTAAAGGCACAGCAGTGGCAGCAGCAAACACCTCCTCAAGCCCCCGGCAGCTGGAGAAACACTTCTGATACTGATCTAGGAAGGAAATAAAACTAAACTCTCAGGTGAGCATCTCCTTTCTCTGCTTGTGAATGCTAGTGGTAGGGACTGGGCTGTAGCTGGCTTGGCCTAATGGTTAGGTCACTGAGGGAGGGCAGGGTCAAAGTTCAGGCACCAAATTACCACCAGGTCCAGAGGGAAATCCAGGGACAGAATCCAAAATACAGGCCAGGGGGAGGGTCTGGGAATCAAATGCTGAGTTACCAAGATCAAAGGATAATGCACAGGTCAAGGTCCAAGAACAGCCAAGCAGGGCATGAACCAGGAGGTTGACCACAGCGGACTGGGGTCAGACCTGCTGTATGGCCTGGGAGTCTGCTGCCACAGCTGGAGCTCAATGGATAGGCAGAGGACCAGCAGCCAATCAGTTGGTTAATTAGCTGGGGCAGAGCGGCTGGTGTGGCTCCCTAGACAATGAACCCAGGCGGGGCTGCCCGATCAGAGTCCCTGCCAGCTAGGCCCCAGCCCTCAAAAAATGGCTTTCTTCTGTCACCTGCACAGGTGCTATCCTAGACAATCAAGACTGCATGTAATGCTAGAGTCTCACGTCCAAAATGGGATGAAGAACCCTTACAGGCACATTGTCCCGATTTATGTTATATTAAATACTTGCCCAAGATAATTTGAGGTATCTCAGGCCATCAGGTGATATAGTGCAGAATACCGGCAGTCAGTCGGACAAAGCAGACCAGCAGAATTGGATACGGGAAGAGCAGAAGGGGGTCCGAGTGGACAAGCATCTGCGAAAGCCCAAATCATTCACAGAATGTTGGCCTTCAGACACAGAGCTCTTCAATGAGAGAGACTGTGCGGTTTTCAGGGACCTTAGGATGCTCTTGATGAGAAGAGATTGCAGCATTGCCCCAGGGATGGTGATTTCCTTTTTAGGTAGCTGGATGACTCAGCTTAGGCAAGGATAACAACAGGAAGAAACAGAAACTAAACCAGAATCTTCACAATTTTCAAATAGATGAGGGAGGGATGTTTGCTTGCTGCCTTCCTGTTTAATTTTTATATCAACAATCTAGCAAAGACACTGAAAGGAGACTCTTTCTTTCCTACAGTGTTCAACTGCTCTTCTCTTTTTGCCAGTAATATCTGACATTCCCAACCCTTGGAAAAGGGGAGATTCTTGGCCTGTTTTTGATCTAAGTTGTTGGCATTTGGCTCCGTCTCAGAAACAGCCTGGAAAAAATAATTACCAACAACAAGCTGGAACAAATCATCTAATTTTCATACCATGACTGGAATATCCTTCAGTTTGGAGAATGGAAGCACTCCACAACTCAGGAGAAACCAAACACCATCATATCAGCACATGGAGACCTCTGGTTTTCTAGCAGATAAGGTGGTAACTTGGCTTCAACAAGCATAGACGTTTTGAGGCCCAAAGGAGAGTCCTAAGTTTTATACAGAACAGAAACACAGAGCTAATGGAGGAGATAATCTGTGGGAACTGGAATATGACTTCTGTTATTTGAAGTTGCTGATTCTCCATTTCTAGTAACCCTCCTGCAGCCTGGGCAAGCACAGGCAGCATGGATCTATACAAGGACCAAGAGAAAGATAACAGCTAGTCAAAGTTTCTGGCAAGACCCACAGGATGGGGAGAGAGATCCATCTAAACTGTGCAGCCAGAAGCAACAAGAAAGAATAACCAAGATTTCATTCTTCATAATAAACACAAGATTTAAATGATCTCCTATTTAATACAATACATTCAGGTTCTTTACTGGAAACCACAGATAAGGTTATAAAAACTCATGCATGTTAAGTCTACAAAGAAAATCCAACCCCTTTGGCCAAACGTTATACACAGCAACTAATTATTATGTAAAACAAATACAACTTCAGTCTGTGTTCACCTTTTTTATTACTGCATAATAAATCGTTCACACAAAATAATGAAAAGGATCCCTTAGGTGGTACTTTACAGATCAGAAGGAAAACAGAGTATCTGTGAATATGCTAGACTGCAGACTCCAGGACTTTGCCAGACCTTTATAATGCCTGCAATCTTGAAAGGACCAATCGAATGAAGATGTATTTCATTGTAAAACTTGGCTTGTGTTGCTGCTTCAGCTTTAGATTCTGACTCCAGCTGTTACAATCCTGCTGGGCCCTATAAGCACTACATTTTAATTACCTGCGCAAGAAAATTATTTCAGTGGAACGAACCTGTTTCTCTTTACTTCAGTGCAAGGTCATTAAGACAAGAGAACAAACTGAAATTGTTAGCTGACGCTACTCAAGTCAGTGACTCGTTGGTCCTGTTCACGTCACACGTCCTTGTCTTTGTATGAAACTCTTTTAAAAATAACTAGATTTTCCATACCAAAACAGTGAGTTGTGGCTCTGTTCAGGCAGTAAGGTCTTGGGTGTCCTCAAGTATTACTGAAGTCCACAAGGGTGTACAAGAGCTCATTATTTGGCAGGTTCAAGCTCTCGCTGTGCTTACATCAGCTGAAAATCTGAACCATGCAGTTGAGTCTCAGGATCCAGCGCTCCAAGTGCATCCGTGGAATGACCTTTGGAAAGACTGTGCAGCTTTGCTGACTCACAAGCACCCTGGTCCTACATTTATAGGTACAGTTACAAATCACTACACCAAACAGAAAAGCCCACTCCCCTTGGACTTGTCCAAAGATGTAACGTAACAAAACAAAACACCCCCCCACCCAAATCCAACATGTAGCATAAACACTCCCAGCTCTTCAGCCATGGTGCAACCATCCCCATATTAGACATTGAACACCCCGCTGCAGCTCCACTCTTTAAATTGCCTCTTCCCAAAAGCTACCGCTACTTGAAGGTACTAAGAACTCCTATGCTATGCACGTCTCTTTGTATTTATAGGTTTAAATAAATACGGAAAGAATTTAAAAATAACAAACCAGCAGTTCCATTTATGCAGGGCCCAGGAGGACTCCTGCTTCCAAATAAGCAGGTAAAAAGGAAAGTGTAATTCTAGCATCTTCAAGAAACCAAAAACTGCAAGGAGCTCTATTTAAAGCCACGCCGAGGACTGCCTGAAAGCGGATGTGCTCTACCCTTCAAGTTAGTAAACAGAACATACCGGGGCAGGCAGTGCATTAAGGGATTTAGCATATATATGTAAGGACTAACTCCCTAGTCTTCATCTCTTGGCATGCAATGAACTTGACCTAGTGACAGCATTTTCCACAAGGCAGCAACAGGTCACAGCCAGCGTGTCTGGGTGCATGTGGAAATGAATGCCATCAGGAGCTTGCCCCCAAGACAAACACACCCTTCATACGACAAAAAGGAGATATTCTTGAACAGGATGGCCAACTTACTCATTTACTTTCTCCTCTGCAGAGAGAGATTTTTGATTATTTTCATTCAACTGGGTACAAGGGGAGGACGTTAGAACATTCATTTTGAAGCAGTCCACATTCAGATAAATCCGTCCCTCCACTAGACACCCTTGGCCTGTGACAAGGGGATTTTTAACACAGCACTGTACTGGGGATTCTCAGACACCATCAACAGCGCCTAGACCTTTTACAGGGCAGAGGTCTATTTTGAAAACGTGAAGGCATTTTCTTTGGAGATCTGTCTGTCTGGTTGGTTTCCAGGGACAGTACTTGCCACATGCAAGACTGGAGGGACTTTCCTTTGGAAGCTAGCATTTCTAGCCCTATCAAGAACACAAATGAGTCCAAACTGTTTTGACAATTCCTTATCATTGAAACCCTCCCACACGTACCGTGATATCCAAATCAAAGGTTTTGCCTCTCTGCCTGGAAACAAACTGTAGTTAATATCCAGCCTGCTAATTCACTTGGATGACAACTGAGACAATGCTGCAGAGACTGCAGTCATTACAATGTCACCAAAGTAAAGGGCCATGAGAGGAGGCAGGGTAGCAACTTGATGAATACTTCATTGCAGAAACCAATGGTGTCTGAAGAGCTTGCCTTGTTACCTACAGGAAATAAAAACACTGGTTCCAAATCAAATGCCAACTCTTATTTACCCACTGTACTGTATAGATCGCTCTGCTTTGGTGGTGTTGGTAGCATCGCACTGCATGTCTAAGGCCTTGTGTTCATAGGGTAAGGTCTAAAAGGTTGCATACAACCCTGTCAGTTCTTCACGCTGCAGCTGCTTCCAGCATGCCTGCTGCAGCCTGGTAGCAAGACGTCAAAGCTGGACAGGATAGGAGTGGCAAGCTCTTCATTCTCGGTAAGGTTCAGGTTTAGAGGACGCACGCCAGGAGGGATCATGTATTAACACGCAGTGTTCGGGTTTGCTCTCTTGAGGTGAGACAGAGTAGAGCTAGCTCTGTCATCTGGCCTCTTGCGCCTCAGCCGGAGTCCATAGTGAAGAGCTGGATGTCGTGGGGGTTCCAGTACAGCGCCACGGCAGAATTGTATACCAGGGACCAGACGTAGGGAATGAAAAACTCCTCAGGCTGCTCCTCTTCCACATACTTAAACTTCAACTCTGGGAATTTCTGCAACAAGAAAAAAATGGCCGTTGAGGGAGGGGGGTTGCAAATCCATCGTCTGTATAACAGATGCAGTCTGGGCATAACCAGAACAGGGGGAACAGAACCATCAGGCCAAAGGAAAATACAGTCAACAAAGGGGATAAAGTGACCACCACAGTTTTCTCTTTTAACCTTTTGTTTTGCTGATACTTTCTGGATTTAGCCTTTTGCTGTTGGTAGCACTCTTGGGTCTGCTTGTTCCCACATGTGGAATTACATGCTAGATGAGCTACTAACTAATGCTGAATACATGGATCCATATCAAGAACAAAAGTTCGGAAAACAAAAGCTGCATCAGACAGCGGCCCCACAACAGCACTCCTGCCCCTGCAGTGCAGGCCTATTGATGTCTAGCAACATAAAAATGGAGAACATGACTGGCGGTAGTCAGCTCCTTGGGAAGGGAGATGTACCACTTGTTTTAGCTTTCTGGAAAACAAGATGTTATAGTAACCTGACTTGTTTCCCCAGTTTCCAGAGACCGTTCTATGCACAGATGCCTCCAGTCCAGTAGTTCTCTCCTTCCAGGAAGTGTGGTTTGAGGAAGGAAGTGTGGTTAAATTAGGGGGCTCAACTCCTGGATACTATTTCTAGCTCTGCCACTAACTCACTTAGTGGCTTTGGGCAATGTGTGAATTTCCTGTACCTCAGTTTCCCTGTCTTTAAAGGGAGGGATTGTGATAATGTCTCTCCAAGGGCTGCTGAGAGGCTTAATTAAATTGCCTGGAGATCACTTGAATTCTTCCGATGAGATGTGCTGGGTATTCCTTGTATTCGATCTGCACTCTCTCTCTGGACCCATTACAGTAATACCCAAGTGCTTTATTCCTCTGTTATCCTTACACACAGCTACCTCCTCCCCCAAATTACAGGCCAAACCCTCTTATTTCCACAATGTCTGATGCCCTGCTGTGCCTTCTGTGGGCGATGTACATTCCTGAATTAAATCAGCCATCCAATCCACCCCTGATCAGCCAGATACTCTACGTCCACAGGTCTCCAGTCTCTTTGCAACTTCCTCCCCTCCTATAGCTGAACACGCAGTGAAGGAAGTCAGCCCACCACCAAGCCTGCATATTATGGTTTCAAATAAGGCAGCTATTAGCTCCCTGTCAATAAGCATGTTCTTTTGGAAGGGCTGAGACTATTTTTATATTGTGCTATTCATTCATTTTATCTGCTTCTCAATGTTCCCTGTGTCAACAGCCTGGCATGGACTCAGATAAAAGCCACATTACAATGATCATTGGGGTAAGATAAAACATGACCCATTTCATTATTTATAAGGATGTGGCTAAGACTAAGAATAAACTACCATGGTGCGACATGATTAGAACAAGGATGACAATGGCTGAGAAGCCTCTCTGCCCATTAATAATGAAGGGATACCTTATCAGCTTTCTCTAGCTCATTGTGTTAGTGTTTCCTTGTGTTGGGCCAACAGTCTCTTCTCACTGGAGTCGCGCTCTCTGGGATGGGATTTTCTTGGCTACTTAGCATTCAGGTTTCTCCCCCTTTCATTTACATTTACTCGTCTTATTTATTTTTGTTCCAGGGGGCAACAAAAACATGGGAACTCTTATTCAGTTATTTCCCCAAGTTGTCCCTGCATGTTAATGATGCAAACAGTACTTCCCTGTACAACTGCACTTACAGCAAGCCACAAATGAGCTGGCCCTTTTACTCAAAGCCTGTTGTATGAAGCAGATGCTATCAAAGCTCAGAGCTTTAGCCCTGACCTACAAATGTCTGGTTTCCTACATTCCTGAGACGGGCTCTCTGCTTTGCTGCGGGCCATCACTTAACTGGAACATGCCAGGATCCCCCTGCGGGCCGGCTCATGCTGAGAGCTATTACCATCAACTCAGTTGTAATGAGTTTGGTTCTGCCCCCAGTATGGAAAGGTTGAAGATAGGGGCGTACCAATAAAGATTTTCTTGGCCGATACCGATAGCCAATGATTAACCAACCATAACGGCTGATGCTGAACTGATAACCAATAATTAGTAATAGTGCAAGACATTTTAAACTACTGACATAAACAAACCTTTTTTTGTTTGTTTTGCGTTTGCAAACACACACACACACACACACACGCCTCCTGCTTGCTCTGGTCCTCGATGAGGAAGGTGGCGACTGCCTTATTCCCATGCACATCATCCCCTCGCCCACGGCTCCTACCTGCAGTCCCGCTCCCCATGCAGCCATCCCAGGCGGGCAGGGTGGACCCTTGTGTGGACAGCGGTGCCCGGCGCATTTGGAGCCCCGGAGCATGCTGGGGCCTCAGCACTGGCAGGCCCCACGCAGCTGAGCTCCCGAGGCTGCCAGAGAGAAGCCATTTTTACAAAAGCCCAGCAGAGCCAAATGTTCCTTGTGTGGTACCTTACCCCACCTGTGTGCAGTCCAACATCTCCAGGCCAGCTCTGGTGCTTAGGCCCCTGCTGTACATGTAGCATTGCTGTGGTGGCAGCAGCAGGAGCCAGTAACAGTCCCTTTGTTGCTGAGCATGGCACTCTGTGACCCCTCCTTGCTGCTCGCCAGGACCTGTAGTCTACCATGGGCTCGGGCCGGCAGTGAGACACAGGGACCCGACTACATTCACCAGGGTGCTCTGGGTACGCGGTTGTAATTATTGACTACAGTGACCAAAAAAAAGCCAATAGCTGATAACGTCTTTTCTCCTTTTATTGGTGCTGATCCGATACCTAGCCGATGTATCAGTGCACCCCTAGTTGAAGATAGCATTGCTGCAGTCTGAGCACTTCACAGTCCTTGGTACAGCCATTCTCACACACTCCTGAGAACAGGACTATGCGATTATCTCTGTTTCACATCTGGGCAACTGAGGTACTTGGGCAAATCCATCGTCTGTATAACAGATGCAGTCTGGGCATAACCAGAACAGGGGGAACAGAACCATCAGGCCAAAGGAAAATACAGTCAACAAAGGGGATAAAGTGACCACCACAGTTTTCTCTTTTAACCTTTTGTTTTGCTGATACTTTCTGGATTTAGCCTTTTGCTGTTGGTAGCACTCTTGGGTCTGCTTGTTCCCACATGTGGAATTACATGCTAGATGAGCTACTAACTAATGCTGAATACATGGATCCATATCAAGAACAAAAGTTCGGAAAACAAAAGCTGCATCAGACAGCGGCCCCACAACAGCACTCCTGCCCCTGCAGTGCAGGCCTATTGATGTCTAGCAACATAAAAATGGAGAACATGACTGGCGGTAGTCAGCTCCTTGGGAAGGGAGATGTACCACTTGTTTTAGCTTTCTGGAAAACAAGATGTTATAGTAACCTGACTTGTTTCCCCAGTTTCCAGAGACCGTTCTATGCACAGATGCCTCCAGTCCAGTAGTTCTCTCCTTCCAGGAAGTGTGGTTTGAGGAAGGAAGTGTGGTTAAATTAGGGGGCTCAACTCCTGGATACTATTTCTAGCTCTGCCACTAACTCACTTAGTGGCTTTGGGCAATGTGTGAATTTCCTGTACCTCAGTTTCCCTGTCTTTAAAGGGAGGGATTGTGATAATGTCTCTCCAAGGGCTGCTGAGAGGCTTAATTAAATTGCCTGGAGATCACTTGAATTCTTCCGATGAGATGTGCTGGGTATTCCTTGTATTCGATCTGCACTCTCTCTCTGGACCCATTACAGTAATACCCAAGTGCTTTATTCCTCTGTTATCCTTACACACAGCTACCTCCTCCCCCAAATTACAGGCCAAACCCTCTTATTTCCACAATGTCTGATGCCCTGCTGTGCCTTCTGTGGGCGATGTACATTCCTGAATTAAATCAGCCATCCAATCCACCCCTGATCAGCCAGATACTCTACGTCCACAGGTCTCCAGTCTCTTTGCAACTTCCTCCCCTCCTATAGCTGAACACGCAGTGAAGGAAGTCAGCCCACCACCAAGCCTGCATATTATGGTTTCAAATAAGGCAGCTATTAGCTCCCTGTCAATAAGCATGTTCTTTTGGAAGGGCTGAGACTATTTTTATATTGTGCTATTCATTCATTTTATCTGCTTCTCAATGTTCCCTGTGTCAACAGCCTGGCATGGACTCAGATAAAAGCCACATTACAATGATCATTGGGGTAAGATAAAACATGACCCATTTCATTATTTATAAGGATGTGGCTAAGACTAAGAATAAACTACCATGGTGCGACATGATTAGAACAAGGATGACAATGGCTGAGAAGCCTCTCTGCCCATTAATAATGAAGGGATACCTTATCAGCTTTCTCTAGCTCATTGTGTTAGTGTTTCCTTGTGTTGGGCCAACAGTCTCTTCTCACTGGAGTCGCGCTCTCTGGGATGGGATTTTCTTGGCTACTTAGCATTCAGGTTTCTCCCCCTTTCATTTACATTTACTCGTCTTATTTATTTTTGTTCCAGGGGGCAACAAAAACATGGGAACTCTTATTCAGTTATTTCCCCAAGTTGTCCCTGCATGTTAATGATGCAAACAGTACTTCCCTGTACAACTGCACTTACAGCAAGCCACAAATGAGCTGGCCCTTTTACTCAAAGCCTGTTGTATGAAGCAGATGCTATCAAAGCTCAGAGCTTTAGCCCTGACCTACAAATGTCTGGTTTCCTACATTCCTGAGACGGGCTCTCTGCTTTGCTGCGGGCCATCACTTAACTGGAACATGCCAGGATCCCCCTGCGGGCCGGCTCATGCTGAGAGCTATTACCATCAACTCAGTTGTAATGAGTTTGGTTCTGCCCCCAGTATGGAAAGGTTGAAGATAGGGGCGTACCAATAAAGATTTTCTTGGCCGATACCGATAGCCAATGATTAACCAACCATAACGGCTGATGCTGAACTGATAACCAATAATTAGTAATAGTGCAAGACATTTTAAACTACTGACATAAACAAACCTTTTTTTGTTTGTTTTGCGTTTGCAAACACACACACACACACACACACGCCTCCTGCTTGCTCT